GATCAGCACGGCCGCCGCCGCCGCAGCCCACACCGTCCGTACTCCTCGCCCCGGCCACACCTCCACCTCACCCTCTACCAATCGGATCGCTAACATCTCTTGAAATGCTGCCAAGGAGGGTCCTTGTAGCCGGGAAGCCACGAAGCCTGCTGGCGTCAGCGCCGGTTCCCGCTCCAGCTGACGGCCGTACACCGTCAGGCTCTCCGCACGCAGCCGTGCATATGTACGACGCGCCAGCAGCGGCGCTGCGGCCTGCACAAGCGCCTGGAGAGACACGTAATCCGCTACGTTGCTGCAATCGATGAAGTCGTACTGCAGCGGCTGTTGTGGCGGCGTCAGCGGCGACGGAGGTGGAGAGTAGGAGGGTACCGTCAGCAAGGCGGCGAGGATATCGCCGTGCACAAGTTGCACGGTGATGCTGCCGTCACGCAGGCCCTGTACGGCAGCGTCCAGGAGCGGCGTCAGCGCCGCCGTCAGGCGGGCAGTAGCGGTACCGGGCTTGTCCGAAAGCGGCAGGGCTCGGAAGATGGAGGAGGAGAAATACACCTTCGAGGGGGAAAAAAAGAGGAGAGCGTAGAAAATCGTCGGGGCAGTTTCGGTCCATCAAACAAAACGTGTGACGCCTGAAACAGGACATGATTTTTAAATATCGCGACGCTTAACTTTAAGAACATGTCATCAATCGTGCTCATGAGCAATTCTCATGTCTGATACGTCTCCGCGGACACTATGTCGTACAAACAATAAAAACGGACAAACAGAAATGCCACCCGCCGGCCCCAAATCAAGGTGGTCACTCGTCCGCCGCAAGATCCAGGAAACGTAACGTCACTTTCCCTCGCAAGCTCGAAAACCCGGTTTATATTTTTACAGTTTATGTTTCGCACTGTTATTTCATTAAGTTCTGGCGCCCGCGAAGTTGAACGAAGTCACTAATATCCTCTTCCGCAAGGCAAAAAAGGCGTACAGACGTCCATGTGCCTACCCGTGCCCTCCTCTGCTCCCCTGCAACTGACGCTATCCCTGCCGTACCGTGTACTGCAACTCTGGTGCCAGCAGCAGTGTCGGATTGGCCGCCACCAGAGGCTCTACCGGCGCCGCCGCCGCCGCCGGCTTTTTGGCTCCGCCGCCGCCGCCGCCGTCCCCGCCGCCGCCGCCCCCGCCGCCACCATCGCCCTCAGGCCTCAGGCTGCCCACATGCACATACTCACGCACCTCAGGCCGCAGCGCCTCCGCCGCCTTCGGACCTATCGTTGCCTCCAGCGCCCCCATGGAGAGCTCAACAGCGTTCCTCCAAATTGCCTCCGCCACCGCACCACGGGGAACCCCCAACCGCTGCTGGCGCTGCGCCAGGAGGGCATCCAGCGGCAACGTGCAAGCAGCCCAACTGGCAAAGGCGCCGCGGAGCGCCGTTTCCGCTGCCGCCGCCGCCGCCGCTGCCGCCGCTGCGGCGGCGGCGGCGGCGGCCGAAGACTGCGGCGGCGGCGGGATCGGAGGATCCAGCGCCGTCGACGCCGTCAGCCAGGATGGCCATGGAGCCGTAGCGAGGGCCTGCAAGCTGCGAGATAGCAACTCCGACTGTTTAGCGGTGAGGCCGTGACAGGCCCATACTGCCAGTACGGCACCCG